GAGGACGCAGACGCACTAGCACCTAGAGCAGCAGCGTCGCAAGCACCTAGGGCAGCAGCCGCACCAGTACCTAGAGCAGCAGTCTCGATGCCCGGGTCGGGCGAGAAACACCGGTAACAGTCACCCTCATCACTAACAGTCACATAATACATGGCAGACAGAATAGCATCAAAATCAAGATCATAGATGGCAACTCCCGCCCTAGACAGCTCGCCCTTGCGAGGGATCTCGGTGGCCTCAGGGAACTGGTGATGCCACGCGTCCGTCAGATGGCCAAAGCAGCGCTGGGTGGGGTGCGCACCCCCACACTGCTCACCCGCACGGTCATCGGTGCGCAGGACGTAGGTGCACGGACCAAAAACCCCACCCCGCTGGCGTGAAGTGTACCACTCACGGAGCTGCTGAGGGGACAGGGTCTCACGACCATGCTGCTGCTGCTGGCGCGGACCACCACCGGAGCCACTCCTCTGCGTAGACCCACGACCAGCTCCACCGCCACCTCTGCCCCATCCGCTGCCTCCGCCGCCTCCGCCACCACCGCCGCCTCCGCCACCACCGCCGCCTCCGCTACCACCGCCTCCTCCGCTCCCTCCGCCACCGCCGCTGCCTCCGCCCCCACTGCTGCCACCGGTACGCCCACCCCCTCCACCACCCCCACTCCCTCCACCGCCTCCACCGCCACCTCCACCGCCCCCGCCAGCTCCTCCAGTGCCCTTGCCCCCTTTGCCCCTGCCTGTGCGGCGCTTCCCCGAAGGGGCAGACGCAGCGCCGAACGACTCGAAACCAACGAGGTCGGCCGCAGCAGCAGAAGCGACAAAGGGCAAGAGGGGGGAGGGAGAACACCCCTCAAAGACAGGGGTGCGGGGGTCACCACGAGAAGCTCCTACAGCGACTATGCTCTTCTCCGCCGCTAGGAGGGACTTCTTGAGGAGCTCAATGGTGAGAGTGGTGGGGCACACTGCGAGGAAGTGGTCCCTGACCACTCTAAGGGAGTCAGGGAGTCGGGTGACTATGTAGTAGAGGGTGATGTGCATGGGGGGGGGGTTCTTGGCGCAGAAGTCAGCAGGAAGCGCAGCGCGGTAGCGAGTGTCACTAGTGCGGAGGTGCGTAATGAGGTCAGCGACTGTGGGAAAGGCAGCAAGGTCAGGGAAGAGGTACGGCAGCATGAGACGGCTCAGTGCAGCAGTGGCAGGGGAGGAGTAGCGTGCAACTACAGCGTCGTACAAGGTCTGAGCACTCTTGTACTGACTAAAGTGTGCACGCTCGGAGGTAGGGAGGTGGCGACGCACAGCAAGACGTGCAGCAGCGTCGCGCGTGGCCCACTGGGAACGAACAGTGGCGTCATCATCAGCAGCAGGGGCAGGGGAAGCGCCAGAAGAAAGGTCAAAGAGAGAGAGGCCGTCTGCCCTATCGCACTGTAAGAACAGCTGCAGGTCATCTATCCAGACCTCAAAGTCAATGGCCCGACCCTCAGCGTCAAAAGCGAGGACACTAGGGGTAGCCATGACAACAGTAGACTAGCAGTGCAGAAAGTAGGGTGAGGGCAGTGCAGTGAAAGAGGCGCTGTGCTCACGAGACTAGGCAGCTCGGAAGGAGGGCGGCTCAGCTGCTGGGCTGCTCGGCGGCTCGGCTGCAGGGCGGCTCGGCTTCTGGGCGGTTCGGCGGCTGGGCGGCTCGGCTGCTGGGCGGCTCGACGGCTCGGTTGTCCGGCTGCTCCGGTGCCCTGGAGGCTCGGCGGTGCTGCTGCAGGGCGGCGCGGCGGTCGGCTGCTCGGCTAGGTGGGGTGGGTCGGGCAGTCGTGGCGGCGGGCGGCGCTGGAGCAGGTGAGAGGCGGCGAGGCCGCAGCAGATGCGGGCGGCGAGGCCGCAACAGAGACGGGCGGCGGCGGGCCGCTAGTGGGGCTGCGATGGGGCCGCAGGGAGAAGGGCGGCAACGGGCCGCCTTAGGGCGGCAGTGGGCCGCTGCGGGAAGGGCGGCGACGGGCCGCCTTAGGGCGGCGGCGGGCCGCTGCGGGAAGGGCGGCGACGGGCCGCCTTAGGGCGGCGGCGGGCCGCTGCGGAAAGGGCGGCGACGGGCGGCCTTAGGGCGGCGGCGGGCCGATGCGGAAAGGGCGGCGACGGGCGGCCTTAGGGCGGCGGCGGGCCGATGCGGAAAGGGCGGCGACGGGCGGCCTTAGGGCGGCGGCGGGCCACTGCGGAAAAAGCGGCGACGGGCGGCCTTAGGGCGGCGGCGGGCCACTGCGGAAAGGGCAGCAACGGGCGGCCTTAGGGCGACGGCGGGCCGCTGCGGAAAGGGCGGCAACGAGCGGCGGCTAGGGCGGCGCTAGGGCAACAGGCCGCTAGGGCGACGGGCCGCTAAGGGCCGCTAGGGCGACGGGCCACTAGGGCGACGGGTCGCTAGGGTAAGCGCGCTTCGGGAAGGGGGCAGGACGTGCCCCGGGCAGAAAAAAAAAGTTGGTGGGCCCTAGGAACAGTTCCCACGAGGGAACCTGCTCGATACCATGAGAAAGTATGAACGAGAATGAATGAACTATGAATGAACTGGGTACAAGTACTAACCCTAATTGGGTTGTACCCCCTATGGGATACCCCAATACAGCCTACACAAAAGTATAAGCTATATATGTTCTGACATGCTGGTGGTGGGCCCGGTGAGTCTGCAGTAGCTTTACCTTCAGGAGCCATAGTATTGCAGACTTTGAGGTGTAATGAGTAATTTTTTTAAAAAGGAGTTGTTCTGAGAAGAACGAGAACTTGACAGATCGTATAATCCACTCACGCTCTCATACCATGCTGATGTAACCAAGGATCAGTGGATAGGATAGAATCTGTTAAGTCTGAGAGGAGACAATGAAGCCTCTGTAATGACCTTGTTGAATAATAATTGAGATGGAACAAGATGATTTAAAAGATAGGAGTACAGGGGATTAAATAGAAATCTAGCTAGCCATGTACCTTCAGGAGCCATAGTATTGCAGACTTTGAGGTGTAATGAGTAATTTTTTTAAAAAGGAGTTGTTCTGACATGCTGGTGGTGGGCCCGGTGAGTCTGCAGTAGCTTTACCTTCAGGAGCCATAGTATTGCAGACTTTGAGGTGTAATGAGTAATTTTTTTAAAAAGGAGTTGTTCTGAGAAGAACGAGAACTTGACAGATCGTATAATCCACTCACGCTCTCATACCATGCTGATGTAACCAAGGATCAGTGGATAGGATAGAATCTGTTAAGTCTGAGAGGAGACAATGAAGCCTCTGTAATGACCTTGTTGAATAATAATTGAGATGGAACAAGATGATTTAAAAGATAGGAGTACAGGGGATTAAATAGAAATCTAGCTAGCCATGTTCTCTTAGGGGTACATTCCCTTATTAACTGTATTGCATAGCTACAGTAACCGTGACTATTGCTATCCTCGTCAGTTACCATGTTGCAGTGAGTTAACTGTCGCACGGTTACTGGATTGTCAAGGGTCACGACCGTTGACTTTCTCAGACGGTTGACCTTCGGGTGACTCTCGACATTCCGAATGCTCTATATGAGCTATTCCGGTACTGGTACAGTGGAACAGCTTCGGGAATGCTTTATATAACCTTTCGTTTATTCCAACAAAAGCCACGACACCAGCAGCGACACTCCAGAAGCGAAGGGGAGTGTTGGAAACAAGTAACTTCAACGCTTCTGATGTATCGCAATAGCAAGCTGAAAACGAAGCGAACTACAAGGGAGCAACGGCGAGTCAACCATCGGAGGTTGACAAGAGAAGTAACTACTGGAGGTTATGTCAGAATGTAATTGTATACATTACTTTATAACTGCCTGCAGTGTAGACTTAGTGTAGTTATCTTGCTTGTTAGGTGGTGCACCTCTCTTCTCTTCTTTCATATTTGTACCCTTGAGCCTATAGTGAATCCCGTCCTTTCTTCCACCAAACTTTCTCGACCCCTTTGGCCTAGGCTACTAAGCCTAGGCCCTTACCTAAACCTAGCACACACTTGTGCTACTATTGAACATGGTATTAGAGCCTATTAAGTCCTGGCCTGTGGGCCAGCCTCTCGCTTCCGCTGCTGTTTTTCCGGTCGCGCGCCACGGGCGCGTGGCGATTTCCGTTCTGTCCCGCGCCCGGGTGGCGCGTGACGTTTTTTCTGTCCGTCGCGTCACCCCACAACCCGCGCGCGGCCCTCGCTGCCCCGTCACGACGCCCTGGGGAGCCGCTCGCGGCCCCCCGCTGCCCCGTCGCCGTGCCCTGGGGAGCCGCGCGCGGCCCTCGCTATCCCGTCCCGGCTCCCTGGGGAGCCGCGTGCGGCCCTCGCTGCTCGTCGCGACGCACCTGCAGGACCCGGGCGTCGCCGCTCCTGCTCGTCGCGACGCCCCTGCAGGACCCGCGCGGCGTCGCCCTGCTCGTCGCGACGCCCCTTCGGGACCCGCGGGGCGTCGCCACTTCTCGTCGCGGCGCCCCCTGGACGCCGCCTCTGCTCGTCGCGGCGCCCCTGGGGCGTCGCCCCTGCTCGTCGCGGCGCCCCTTGGGCGCCGTCCCTGCTCGTCGCGGCGCCCTCCCCCCTGGCCACCGCCTCTGCCTCACCTGCGCCCGCGCCAGCTTTGCAGCCGCGCGCGGGCCTGCCTTGCACCAGCGCTGCCCCTAGAGCAGCTGCCCCTGGAGCAGCCGTCCCTGGCCCCTGGAACAGCCGCCCCTGGTGCAGCCGGCCCTGGACCTCAGCAGCCGCCCCTGGACCCTGCAGCAGCCCACAACGCCGCCCCAGGGACCCTGCGAGCCGCCCCAGCAGCAGCCCACGGCGCTGACCCTGCAGCTGCGTGCGCCGCCGCTCCTGGACTCAGTACGGCTGCCTGCCTGTGCTGCCTGTTGCTTCCCGTGCCGGTGCTGCCTGTTGCTGCCTGTTGCTGCCCGTGCCTGTGCTGCCCGTTGCCGCCCGTTGCCGCCTGTGCTTGTGCTGCCTGTTGCCGCCTGTTGCTGCCCGTGTCCGTGCTGCCCGTTGCTGCCTGTGCATGTGCTGCCCATTGCTGCCTGTGCCTGTGCTGTCCGTTGCCGCCCGTTGCTGCCTGTGCCTGTGCTGCCCGTTGCTGCCCGTGCCTGTGCTGCCCGTTGCCGCCCGTTTCCGCCTGTGCCTATGCTGCCCGTTGCTGCCAGTGCCTGTGCTGCCCGTTGCTGCCTGTGCCTGTGCTGCTTGTTGCCGCCTGTGGCTGCCCGTGCCTGTGCTGCCCATTGCCGCCCGTTGCTGCCTGTGCCTGTGCTGCCTGTTGCTGCCTGTGCCTGTGCTGCCCCTTGCCGCCCGTTGCTGCCCGTGCCTGTGCTGCCCGTTGCTGCCCGTGCCTGTGCTGCCCCTTGCCGCCCGCTGCTGCCTGTGCCTGTGCTGCCCGTTGCCGCCCGTTGCCGCCCGTTGCCGCCTGTGCCTGTGCTGCCTGTTGCCGCCTGTTGCTGCCCGTTTCTGTACTGCCCGTTGCCGCCCGTTGCTGCCTGTGCAGGTGCTGCCCGTTGCTGCCTGTGCCTGTCCTGCCCGTTGCCGCCCGTTGCTGCCAGTGCCTGTGCTGCCCGTTGCTGCCCGTGCCTGTGCTGCCCGTTGCCGCCCGTTGCCGCCTGTGCCTGTGCTGCCCGTTGCTGCCTGTGCCTGTGCTGCCCGTTGCTGCCTGTGCCTGTGCTGCCTGTTGCCGCCTGTGGCTGCCCGTGCGTGTGCTGCCCGTTGCCGCCCGTTGCTGCTTGTGCCTGTGCTGCCTGTTGCTGCCTGTGCCTGTGCTGCCCGTTGCCGCCCGTTGCTGCCCGTGCCTGTGCTGCCTGTTGCTGCCCGTGCCTGTGCTGCCCCTTGCCGCCCGTTGCTGCCCGTGCCTGTGCTGCATGTTGCCGCCCGTTGCTGCCCGTGCCTGTGCTGCCCGTTGCCGCCCGTTGCTTTCCGTGCCTGTGCTGCCCGTTGCTGCCCGTTGCTGCCTGTGCCTGTGCCGACTGTTGCTGCCCGTGCCTGTGCTGCCCGTTGCCGCCCGTTGCTGCCTGTGCCTGTGCTGCCCGTTGCTTCCCGTGCCTGTGCTGCCCGTTGCCGCCTGTGCCTGTGCTGCCCGTTGCTGCCTGTGCCTGTGCTGCCTGTTGCTGCCCGTGCCTGTGCTGCCCGTTGCCGCCCGTTGCTGCCTGTGCCTGTGCTGCCTGTTGCTACCTGTGCCTGTGCTGCCCGTTGCCGCCCGTTGCTGCCCGTGCCTGTGCTGCCCGTTGCTGCCCGTGCCTGTGCTGCCCGTTGCCGTCCGTTGCTGCCCGTGCCTGTGCTGCCCGTTGCCGCCCGTTGCTGCCCGTGCCTGTGCTGCCCGTTGCTGCCCGTGCCTGTGCTGCCTGTTGCCGCCCGTTGCTGCCCGTGCCTGTGCTGCCCGTTGCCGCCCGTTGCTGCCCGTGCCTGTGCTGCCCGTTGCCGCCTGTTGCTGCCCGTGCTTGTGCTGCCCGTTGCCGCCCGTTGCTGCCCGTGCCTGTGCTGCCCGTTGCTGCCCGTGCCTGTGCTGCCTGTTGCCGCCTGTTGCTGCCCGTGCCTGTGCTGTCCGTTGCCGCCCGTTGCTGCCCGTGCCTGTGCTGCCCGTTGCCGCCCGTTGCTGCCCGTGCCTGTGCTGCCCGTTGCCGCCTGTTGCTGCCCGTGCCTGTGCTGCCCGTTGCCGCCCGTTGCTGCACGTGCCTGTGCTGTCTGTTGCCGCCTGTTGCTGCCAGTGCCTGTGCTGCCCGTTGCCGCCCGTTGCTGCCCGTGCCTGTGCTGCCCGTGCCTGTGCTGCCCGTTGCCGCTCTGCTGCTGCCCGCGCCCTTGTGCGCTCTGGTCTGCCTGCGCCATCGTGCGCTCTGCTGCTGCCCGCGCCCTCGTGCGCCTTGCTGCTGCCCGCGCCCTTGTGCTCTGCCCACGCCCTCGTGCGCTCTGTTCTGCTCTGTCGCCCCTGCCCCCCCCCCCCCCCCCCCCCCCCCCTTCTTCGTCTCCTTGCTGCGCGTGCAGCCGTGGAACGGAGGCTATGGGGGTGGCGGGTATGGGGGTGATGGGTGTGTGTGATCCCTTTCCCCTCGTCCTTTCTCTCCCACTGCTGCAGCTGCCGCTGGGGGGGGAGTGGGTGTGAGGGTGTGGGGGAGCTGGGGGAGAGGTGCTAGGGTTGTCGAGGAGTGTGGAAGGGGTATTTGGAGGATGGGGAAGGTTCCAGGAAGCAGCTGCCTCGGAGCCAGCAGCTTCATGTGCCAGCAGCTTCATTGCCGCCCACCACCTTTTCTCCTCTCAAAGTCCCTCTCCTCCTCACTTGCCCTCTCCGTCTGCTGCACTCTGCTTGTTGTACCCCTTCCGGGGTGTTTTTGCACATGGTTCTTCACTGCAGGCAGTTAGGGGGTGTGTCAGAATGTAATTGTATACATTACTTTATAACTGCCTGTAGTGTAGACTTAGTGTAGTTATCTTGCTTGTTAGGTGGTGCACCTTTCTTCTCTTCTTTCATATTTGTACCCTTGAGCCTATAGTGAATCCCGTCCTTTCTTCCACCAAACTTTCTCGACTCCTTTGGCCTAGGCTACTAAGCCTAGGCCCTTACCTAAACCTAGCACACACTTGTGCTACTATTGAACAGGTTACGCGAAGGTCAAACGAAAGCGACCTTTGACTTGACGAATACAGCGCGACAGCAAGGACAAACAACTGACTCGATACTGAGCAGTTGCCTAAATCGTCACTGTATCGAACCGCAACAGCAACAATAGAACAGTTATTAGTTGCACCCTTTCGTATTCCTTGTAATCTTATAAAAGCTTGTGTTACTTTTCTATAATCAATCTATCTTGCCCTCACATACTAGCACAAGGTGGTTCAGCAATTGTTATTAAAACGCTTCCGCAACTACAACACTTCTACTCAGAGTTTAGCCTTGTAAAGATCCTAAGGGCTTTTTTCAGCCCAACAGCACCGAGTTAGAATGGCCCTCAGATGCAATACTCAATGGTACCGGTATTAGCCCCTTGAGAAGGTGGAGCAAAGGAAGTATATACTCAATACTATACATTAAGTAATACGGAGACATATACAATGGTTCCATTGTTCATTCTAGCCTTGCTTATTACACGCGTTTTCACCATTTGGTGCATTTGTTACGAAGAAGAAGTGATTGCACTATAAAGTTGGAGTACAAGTAGGAAACCCTAACTTTGTGTACCCCCTAAAGGCTAACCCACTATAGCCTACACAATAATAACACATATAGTATTTGACACACCCCCATAGGCAAAGTGGGGGAGAACAAGGGGTCACAAGACCAGTCAAGAAAGGAAAGCAAGCTCAGGGTGGATCACAACATCACCACACACTCCGAGCACAAGCAAAGGGCCACAAGGCCAGTTCACATGCAGAAGTATATATAAGTAGTACAGGCAGCAAGGGTGATCTCAACCTAGCAGAGCAAACAGGCAGGAGTATATATAGAGATCACAATACAGGCAAAACCTACAACAAGTGAGGCAAAGTGGGCACTAGCCCCAACAAAGTACAGAAGTGCTGATGATCACCAGGCTGAAGTGCCTTGGTGAATATATCAGCGGTGTTGGCCTGAGAGGCCACGTAGCGCAGACGAAGCTGACCATGCTGCTGCAGCTCACGAGCAAGGAAGTAACGGAGAGCGATGTGCTTCGTTCTGTTCTCCAGTCTGTGCTCCTCACACAAGGCAATGGCAGCCTTGTTGTCGACGTACAGCACTGGAGGAGAACTAGGCCGCTCTCCAAGGTCGGTCAGCAGGTAGGTGGGCCAGCGTAACTCCTGTGCAGCCATGGCTGTGACATAGATCTCAGCCTCATAACTAGAGCTGAGAACCAAAGACGAATGAGTAGAGCGCCACGAAACTGAACCAGAGCCAAGGCTGAAGGTGTAACCCTGTGACGACCGCTGTGTAGCCTGGTCGTCAACCCAAGAAGCGTCTAAGTGCCCAGTCAGAACAACTGAGCTCCCTCCTCCAAGCACGAGCTCCATGCCTGATGTACTGCACAAGTAGTGCAATTCCCTCTTTGCAGCATCCCAGTGCACCTTTCGGTGACGACCAAGAGCCACGTAGCGAGCCAGAAGGCCAAGAGGGTATGCTAGGTCAGGACGAGTGCAAGTCATCAGGTACATGAGGCAACCAACTAGCTCTGGGTAAGGACCACTCGACTCTATGGACTCATCCGAAGGCAGAGCTGAGAGCGAGTGACCTATAGCTAGAGGAGTGGCCTGTGCTGAGGACCAGGTGAAGCCGAAGCGCTGAAGGACCTGCTGCACCATGTGTGACTGAGTCAGGGTAATGGTGCGGCGTGCTCTGTCCCGGGTGATCTGCAAGCCAAGGTAGCTGCGCAGTTCACCGAGGTCTGTGCACGTGTGTCTCTTCTTCAGCTCCGACTTCACGTTGGCGAGAGACTCAGTGTCAGCTGTGGCAAAGACCAAGTCGTTGATGTACACGAGGATGTAGAACGGCGGCAGCGACGTGTCGGTGCGTAGAAACAGCGACGGGTCAGCAGTAGAAGGAGAGAACCCAAGTGCCGCAAGAGTAGTCCTCAGTGTGTCGTGCCACTCACGTGGCGCCTGGCGGAGACCGTAGACCGGCCGGCGGAGGCTCCACTGGGTACCAGGAGGGAACGACCCAGTGAAGCCAGGAGGGCGGCACAGCCAGATCTCCTCGTGCAGACTGCCCAGCAAGAAAGCTATGCAGAAGTCAAGAGAGTTAAGCTCGTAGTCGCGCTGAGCAGCAACGTGCAGTAGTACCCGAAGAGTGGTCATCTTTGGGGTGGGGGAGAAGGTGTGAAAGAAGTCTACTCCCTCTCGCTGACTGAATCCTCGAGCAACGTAACGAGCCTTGAAGACAGGCGGAGAACCCGGCGGCCGCTTCACCCTGAAAATCCACATGCCACTGACGATGTTCGCCCCAGGTGGGGGAACCTCGTCGACGTAGGTGCCTGTGGACTTCCAGGAAGCCATCTCTGTGTCCATGGCTGACTGCCACTGTGAGGAGTAGGGACCCTCGATCGCCTCAGGTGCATCCGGGTCTCCCTCAGGGGCAACTAGCATGGACACGAGATGGGGCGCAGCGGCTGCAAGACACTCAAGATCCTCCTGTCTGTCCTCAAGGACGTCCGTGCTAAGAGCACACTCACCCCCGACAAACAGAGGACAGGCAGACTCAGACTCAGCGACAAGACTGGCAGCGTAGTCTAGACGACAGCGATCAGCAAAGTCGACAAGCTCAGCAACTAGGGCAGACGCAGCAGCAGACTCAAACGAAGGGTCAGTGACAGCAGTGGCCAGAAGACGCGTGACAGTAGGACTGGCAGCACAAAGAGAGCCAGACTCAGGGTCAGCAAGAGCAGGAAGAGAGGACTCAGGAGGAGACGGCAGAGGGACACGCTGTGGAGCAGTGGAGGTACGCAGTGGCATCCGGTGTGTGCCAGGGACTGGTGGCGGACGCTCATGCGGAGTACGGCGACTGGTGGAAGTAGTACGAACAGGTGACTCAGGACGGGACACAGGCGACACAGGGCGAGACTCAGGCTGACAACGCTCTGTGAGACCGCCTGTAGGACTAGTGTAGGGAGAAGGACGAGGAAGTGGCGAGGCAGGCGGTAGCTGTGAGTGCGACTGGACCGGCGGTGGACACTCTACAGAGGGAGGGGGACAAGGCGGAGGTGACTGACCAAGAACCTGCTGAAGGAGTGGAACAAAGTACGGCCGCAGCCGTGAGGTGCCCCCTGTAGAAGCAGAGACAGCACCAGAACCTCCAGCAGCTCTAGCAGCACCCCCAGCACCTCCAACCCCCGGGTCTGCAGCACCAGCAGCAGCTCCAACGCCCGGGTCCGCAGCACCAGTAGCAACCACAACTCCAGGGTCCGCAGCACCAGCAGCAGCTCCAACGCCCGGGTCCGCAGCACCATCAGCAGCTCCAACGCCCAGGTCCGCAGCACCAGCAGCAGCTCCAACTCCCGGGTCCGCAGCACCAGTAGCAACTCCAACTCCAGGGTCCGCAGCACCAGCAGCAGCTCCAACGCCCGGGTCCGCAGCATCAGCAGCAGCTCCAACTCCAGGGTCCGCAGCACCAGTAGCAGGGTCCGCGACACTAGGAGCGCCACTCTTGAGACTGCAGCGCCGTGCGTACCACTCACGAAGACGCTGGGGAGAGGGCAGCTCCCGCCTAGGTGAGGAAGCAGGAGTACCAGCTCCAGCAGCACTCCTAGCTCCAGAAGCAACTCTCCTGAGGCTGCAGACTGTAAGTACCACTCACGCAGCTGCTGTGAGGAGAGAGCTCCTCCAGGCGTAGCACTCCCAGGCTCAGCACCCCCAGACTCAGCACCCCCATACTCAGCACAAGCAGGCTCCGTACTCCCAGGCTCAGCACCCCCAGACTCTGCACCCCCAAGCTCAGTACCCCCAGACTCTGCACCCCCAGGCTCAGCACCCCCAGTCTCCGCAACCCCAGGCTCCGCACGCTCAGGCTCAGCACCCCGAGCAGGACGAGAGTTGACAGCTACCTCGACAGGCTCAACCGGGTCTAGCTGGGACACACCTGAGGGAGCGGCACACTGAGGGGGGAGGGGGTCTACCACAGAAGCACCTGGCGCGAGGAAGAGAGGCGGGGGAGGGAGCGGGGCAGTGCGGTAGGGGAAGAGCCGTTAGAAGGGTACCAACTCGGCAAAGGTGACGTCCTGAGAGGCGAGGACACAGCGCGAGGTGGGGTGGTAAAAATGCCAACCAGACGCATCCGGAACAAAGCCTAGGAAGACACACAGAACAGCGCAGGAGGAGAGCTTGTCCGCAGACGTATCGCGAACAAAAGCTCGGGATCCCCAGACCCAAAAACGCGACGCATCGCCAACCTCTCCCGTCCAACGCAATGTCGGGGAGGTCTCCGGCAAAGAGACACGGGGCTAGAGGTTGAGCTGATGTGCAGCGTATCGGACCGCAAACGGCCACAGAAAGTGGGGGGCAGCCGCATGGATCAAGGAGGTACGAGCGACCTCCATGACCAAGCCAATGCGGCGCTCAGCAACCCCATTCTGCTGTGGAGAGGCCAGAAGCGTGAACGACTGGTGGATGCCGTGCTCCGCACAGTAGGCTGCTAAGAGGTCGGAAGAGAACTCACCACCTCTGTCAGAGTGCAAGCGCAGGACAGGAAAGTCTGAGTGGAAACGCTCGCTGAGCTGAAGACGAGAAGCGCGGATCCAAGGGATCAAAACATCAGGGACCTCACCCTTGGTGTACAAGGGGAATACCGTGGTTTAGCGCGAGAAGTCGTCAACAACTATCAGGAAGTACCTCTCCTGACCCTGACCACGGATGCAGGCTAGGCCCCACACGTTCATGTGGAGCGTCTGCAAGGGAGCAGTCATCGGGGGAAACGAGGAGGAGTGAGGTGTAGCGCGCTGCCGCCCCTCGACACAGGGAAGGCAGGGAGGAGCAAGCGAGGGTGGGAGGGGAGGGAGAACCCTGGGAAGACCAAAGACAAGGTACTGTTTGTGCATTGCCCGAAGGCGCTGCACGGACGGGTGACCAAGTCGGTGGTGCCAGAGGACTGTCTCGTGCGCCAGAGAGCGGCACGAGCAGGGGGCCGACAGCTGACCTGACGCAGACGTAGACGCAGCTACCTGAGGGGACTCAGTAGTCAGTGTGTACAGGTCCGACCCCGGCTGCCGTGTGAAGGTCGCAAGGTGATGGCCCGTCCGAGCACACGTGCAGTGTGTCACGCGCTCGTAGGCAGGGGTGAACTGGTGGACACCCCTGTCCTGGAGCGCACTACCCGCCACCAAGTTCATAGAGAACGAGGGGAGGTAGAGACCCGACAATGTGCTCGACGGGACGGCCGGATAGGGGAGGACAGTGGAGGAGGTCGCAAGGACTGGACCCCCAGAGGGTTCAGCGAGAGAGACTGCAACGGGCCGAGCAAGCTGCTCAAGAGACGTGCGGTCACGAAAGAAACAGCGGGAGGCACCTGAGTCTAGTGTAAAGGTGTGCAGTGCCTTAGTCGACTCAGTAACAGGGGGCGCAGACGCACCAGCACCTAGAGCAGAAGCCTCATCAGCACCTGGGGTAGCAGACACTCTAGCACCTAGAGCGGCAGCCTCACCGGTTTGAATGCCCGGGTCGGGCGGAACACGCAGGTACTGGGCACCCTCTCTTCTAATAGACATCACATACATGGCAGAGAGGATAGCATTAAAGTCTAGAGCAAAGATATCAATGTTTTGCTTCATCAGATCAGCCCAGCGGGGCAGCTCAGTGGCGTCAGGGAACTGAGTACGCCAAGCGTCGTTGAGGCGTGAGAAGCAACGCTGCGTGGGGTGCGCCCTCCCACACGTCTGACCAGTGCGGTCACCAGTGCGGATGACGTACGTGCAGCTAAGGCCACCCCCCCCCCCCCCCCCCCCCCCCCCCCCCCGTGCTGAGCGTACCACTCACGGAGCTCCTGGGGCGACGGAGAGTGCTGCAGGCTCTGGCCACCGTCAGTGCCTCCACGACCACCACCGCCGCTGCCACCTCCTCGACCACCTCCTCCCCTGCCGCCGCCGCGTCCACCGCCGCCCCCACCACCGCCCCCGCCCCTGCCACCGCCCCCGCCGCTGCCGCCACCACCCCCACCGCTGCCACTAGCCTTACCAGTCCCACCACCACCCCCACCGCCGCCACCACCCCCACCACCGCCTCCCCCGCCGTCACCTCCGCCTCCCTTGCCCCCTTTGCCCTTGCCGCTGCGGCGCCCGCTCGAGGCAGACGCAGTCCCGACCTTCTCAGAACCAAGGAGGTCGACACCAGAAGCAGAGGCTACAGAGGGAAGAACGGGGGAAGGGGAACACCCCTCAAAGAAAGGGGTGCGGGGGTCGCCACGAGAGGCACCTACAGCGACTATGCTAGCCTCAGCTGCAAGCAGTTCCTTCTCGAGGAGGGCAATTTTGAACTCAGTGGGGCAGCGAGCTAGGAAGCGATCCCTGACAGTACGCAGAGTGTCAGGGAGGCGGGTGACTAGGTGGTAGAGAGTGAGCCAGAGCGGGGGAGGGTTTGTGGCAAGAAACTCATCGGGCATGGCGGCACGGAAGTGGGCCTCACTAGTACGGAGGTGCGTGATGAGGTCAGCGACTGTGTGAAAGGAGGCCAGGTCGGGAAAAAGGTAGGGGAGTGAGAGATGGCCTAGCGCGGCAGAGGCAGGTGAGGAGTAGCGGGCAACGACAGCGGTGTACAGTGCCTGTGCAGTCTTGTGCTGGCCAAAGTGCTCGCGCTCGTCTATCGGCAGGGAGTTGCGAATAGCGAAGCGAGCGTGGGCGTCACGAGTCTGCCACTGTGAGCGGGCAGTGCTATCAGCAGTAGCAGCAGGAGCAGTAGCATGGCCTAGGGCGTGATCGTACAGTGAGATGTCCTCCTTGGCAGTGAGCTGTAGGAAGAGGTGTAGGTCATCTAGCCAGGTATCGAACTTCACTGGGCGGCCCTCAGCATCGAAAGCTAGCACAGGAGGGCTAGCCATAGCAACAGTAGAGTAGCAGTAGTAGCAGTAGGTGCACCCTAAAAACAGTAGGCAGGGCGACTCAGGTAGGGCGGCTCGGTCCAGTACGGGCGGCGCGGCTCGGTTCAGGTAGGGCGGCTCGGCTCGGGTAGGGTGGCGCGGCTGGGTTCGGGCGGCGCAGCTCGGTTCGGGCTGGGCGGCTCGGTTCGGGCTGCTCGGTTCGGGCGGCTCGTTCTGGCGGGGCCGTGGGTGTCTCGGCGGGGTGCTAAGGGGCGGCGCGCGGGTCGAGAGGGGGCCGACGGGGCCGCTAAGGGGTGGGCGGGGCCGACGGGGCCTCTAAGGGGGGTCGCTCGTGGGGTCGACGGGGCCAGCGGGGCCGCTAAGGGGCGGCTCGTGGGGTCGACGGGGCCGGCTGGGGCCTCTAAGGGGGGTGACGCGCGGGGTCGACGGGGCCAGCGGGGCCGCTAAGGGGCGGCACGTGGGGTCGACGGGGTCGACGGGGCCACTAAGGGTCGGCGCGCGGGTCGCTAAGAGGGGGCGGGTCGCGGGTCGCGGGGCCTTAGGGGGCCGTGAAAATGAGACGCACGAGGGCGCTAGGGGGGAGGCGCTCGAGGGCGCTCCGACAGTAGGGCGCACGAGGGCGCTAGTAGGCAGCAGTAGTGGTGGGCCCTAGGAATCGGTCCTAGCGGAGGACCTGCTCTGATTCCATGTTACGAAGAAGAAGTGATTGCACTATGAAAGTTGGAGTACAAGTAGGAAACCCTATCTTTGTGTAACCCCTAAAGGCTAACCCACTATAGCCTACACAATAATAACACATATAGTGTTTGACAGCATTCACCTTCAACTCCGCTCAGTGCCCAATGTTTGTCTCACTCTCAATACAACTCTCTTTGCCATGACTGCTGCCACCACCACGGCCGCTGGTCCTGCCAGGACATGCAAGCTTGTGGGAGGGCCAGTGCACCTTTTGGCAGTCTCTGCTGCAATACGCCACCTTAGCAATTCCTCAGCTTCACACCACCACCACCCTCCACCCTCCCACACCCCGCAGCTCCGCACACATACCCGATACAAGCAGCATCGCCAGGGCATTGTGCAACTGAAACGGAGGCAGCTGCATTGCTTGGTGCACGTGCAGTGATTGGCGCAGCAGGGGCGGAAGAGGGCACAGGCCTTGTGGAGACAGACACACTCGGTGCGGCAGGATGGGTGCACGATGCAGCAGGGGAGGCAGGGCGGTAGCACACCTTCCCCAGCAGCATCTCTCGCAGACATGCCAGCAAATTGACCCCCCCGGGCCATGGATTCAGATAACCTGGCACCTCCCCCTTTCCTTCCTCTCCCTCACTCTTCCCACCACCGCCACCACTGACCCCACTGTTGCTGTCCGCGCAGGCATCGCCACACCCACCCCGACTCGCCCGCATGTCGTCACGGAACCTGGGTTTGGCAGCCTGCGCCCACATGTCAACGCCCCACTCGTGTGACATGGGCGCTCCTGCCCTCGTGGGCAGCACATGGCTGCTGCCCTTACCGCACGACACATGGAGCCCCGACCCCATGACCTTGGTGCTGGAGCGCCACGCGCACATCATGGCACAGCACCACGCCTCCACCTCCACCCACACCTCCCCGCTGTCCACACCCCCTACACTGCCCCCGCTCCCCATGACCCTCTCGATCCTCCGTGCAATCATTTCCATGTCCCCGCTGTGTGAGCCCACGTCGTGTTTGTCAGACACCCCCATGATGGGCTTCGCATGGTACAGCACCACGCCCAGCAGGAAGAAGAGCGGCATTTGCCGTGCCTTGAACCGCATCACACTCTTTCTCATGCCCGCATCCTTCGGTAACTCCGTCATCTGCTCGCACTCATGGCGCAGCGCACTCATGCCCAGCCGCACGCCGGCAGGACTGGATTCGTTGATGAGCCGGATGTGCTCCGCCACGGTGAGAGGCGAGCGCAGCAGCAGCGCCTTGAGCAACTGGTCGAACTGGGGAGAATGCGCGGGGAAGGCGGAGAGGAAGCGCGTGACGAGGGCGTCCACGGGGCGATAGGCGAAGTTGGCGATGAGAGCACAGCAGGGCACGTGGTTCATGAAGATGCCCAGGAATTTGAGGCAGTGGGAACACTTTGGGACCTTCAACATGGCCGGCAGGAACGCCAGTAGAAAGTCCACATCAGCGCGGCACCGCATGATGGGCAGCCATGGCTGCGAGTGGTCCTTGCTGTGCCGTGGTGGTGGCAGCACGGTTGTCTGTGCTAGAACTCCTTTCCCCTTGCCACGCTCTGTAATCGTTTCAGGCCCCCATTCCGCCTTCTTGCCACCACTCCCGTACCCTCCTTTCCCCCTCTTTCCTATCCCCTTCACAGCCTTGCCCTTCCCTGCTGCTCGTTGCACATACTCTGATGGCCCCTGCCCACCCGCCTCTGTCACGTCACACTCCTCTACCACCTCAGTCTCCTCTGACAAGCCATGCTGAGAGCCCCTCTCGTCGCCCATGGCACTCGTCTCCACAATGCCAAGTCCAAAGAAACGGGCAGTGGGGTCGTGAGGGAACTTGGCAGCAGCGTCATCGCCCTCAGGCCACTCCTCCCACTCCAAGGGGAAGTCGCTTCCCTCCACCGGCTTCGGAATGGCACTAAACCTGAGCAGCAGGCTCGGAAGGTCCCTAAAGGGGTGACGCATGGGCAGGACCTTCCCCTGAAGGCTATCCCTGGAGCAGCAGTTCTTCGGGATGAAATCCGAGCCGTAGATTCGGACCCACTGCAACATGCAAGCGACTCGATAAGTTAGGAGAGCCATAGCAGGGTGGGTGTTGACAGGTACGAGCCCAGGGGTGAGAATGGCACGGGATTGAGCCGCTGCCGTGGATTCCTGAGGTGCGTCAAAAGTTGGTGCAGTTGGTGCAGCGGCAGGAGGAAGAGCATGGGTGGTGGAAGAGGAGGTGGTGGTGGAAGACAGGTGGCATGGTGACGAGCAGGTTGACGCAGCACGAGTGCCAATGCCAGCTGTACCACTGCCATTCAACGCACTGGCTTTGGAGAGTGGGTTTGGCCTGCCTGCTGCTTCGTCCGTGGCTGTTGCTCCGGATCCCCCACTTGCTCTCCCTGTGTCGCCCGCTCTCTTCCTCAAGCGGCTCCTGGAGTCACGGATGGCAGCATTCTCCACCTTGGCCTTTGCAGCGTTGTTGCCGTCCAGCATGAGCGACTGGTCCTCATAGTGCCCTGGCAGCGACAGCACTGATGCCACTGCCAGCGCGAAGTCAGTGGCTCCGACGCCACTCACATACATGCCCCTGGGTACATCCCTGCCTCCCATGTACTTGCCACTGCCAACCACATCACCACCACTGCTGCTACCACCATTGCTACTGCTGCTGTCGCCACCGTAGGCGCTGCTACAACGACTGCCACTATCACCACTGGTGCTACTGCTGGTGCCCTCCTCACTGCAGTGGCTGCACCGGAACTCCCTCCCTTTCCCACCTCCATGCTGAAGGATCCAAGCCATGCCATCCACATACCTCTCCCACACACGCCCCTTCAGATGCTTCCTCCACTGCCCGCCGTGCCCATCCCCACCGCCCTCACCGCCACCACCCACTGGCCCCTGCCTGCCACCGTCGCCTTCTCCCCCATCCTCCTCATCCCCTGACCCGCGACCTGCACTGCTCCCCCCTATGCCCTCCGCTCCCCTGCCACCGCCCATCAGCCGCACTGCAGCCGTTGCAACCGGCCCCGCGTTGCCCAGAGCCGCAGCTTTCTTCCGTGTGCCCTGCGCCTTCCCACCCGCCGTATCCAGTGTGCCCGGCAGCAGGTGCTGCAGGAAGAAACCAAACCCTTCTTGCAGGTCAGCGCGCTCCTTCACCCCCAGCACCTGCACCAGCATGGACGCGAAGCAGTCCGGCTGGGCGTGCCTACGCGCTCCCAGCTCCGTTAGCAGCGCTGTGAACGTGGCCGCGCGCGAGTCCATGTGCGCCTTCCACAGCGTCACCAGGTGCGGGGACCTCGCCACGAGCACGAGGAAGGCCGCGAATCTGACGGCACGGCGGTACGCAGCCCAGCAGCCGGTGCAGCGCCAGCAGCACGACCACGCAGCAGCAGCAGCAGGGGGGGTAGCAGACTGAGACGCTTCAGCAAGAGATATCAGAGAAGCAGGGCAGGGTGCAGCAGCAGGTGTGTAGGCGAGGATGGCAGGCAGGCGGGATGGGATCCTCCCCAGGTCCATGAGCACGCCCACGCGCGGCTCAGCCAGCCACTCGAGCAGCATGGCCTGCACGCACAGCAGCGGCGCCTGCTCGCACTTCCACACCAGCTGCTCCCGAGACGCCACCCCCTGCTGTCCCCCCAACCGCTGCACGGGAACGCTCGAGGAGAAGTCAAGCACGGCCTTGGTGGGGCGGCTGGGGGGGGGCAGCGGGAATGGCGGGCGAGTGGGCGCGGTGCAGGTGTAGGCGGAAGGAGAGCGCGCTGGTCTTGCCCAGGGCGTGCTCCGCGCAGTACGCCACCGCGCGGTCCAAGCACCACTCGCACTCGCCCGCGTCCCACACACCTTGTACGTCCAAATAGTGAACCATGTACGTCCGGCACACCAGCTGACGCTTCTCGGGTGCGTTCTGGCCGGCCGGCGGCCCTCGCATGGCGTCGCTGTTGATTTTTGCTCTTTGGCGTGCAGGGGTCGAGCAGTTGCGGCTCCCATTTCGACTCCAAGTCAGGGCTGACGATTCAAGGGCAAATGCCCTTAACGCCCTCAACATTAAGGGTTGGGTTCGGCCCAGCTTCCGAATTTTAAGGGTTGGCTTTGAGGGCAGCCCTTTCCCGCAAAGTGCTGGTTGTGGGCCTAACCCGGATTTCAAGTGCAGATCCCGCGGCTAGCCCTTATCGTCCCATACTAATACCTCCCTCCCTCCCATTCGCTCACCAGTCCCCCCACCTCCTCCCAGCCACTCCCCTACTTCCTTCTCCCATCCCCCTCAAATCCATCATGTTTCGTACCTCAGCCTATTGCTAGCTGGCTCTTAGTAGTTTTCCTAGGATATGGTATCCTTGGCTAAGTGAAAATAAGTTGGTAGCCCTGATTTGAAGTGCCAGGTTCGCTCTCAGCCCGGAAATTTCAGGGCAACTTTTGGGGCACCTCAGCCTCTCAAGTTCTGGCTCCAAACCAATCGACAGCCCTGCTCCAAGTCCTCCTCGTCCTTCCGACCGGGCTGGTTCCGATGGTCGCGCGCGGGGCCGCTGAGGTACGCGCAAGCAGACCCGCAGGGCGTTGGAGCACTGAACGACATGTCTTCGAGGCGAGGGTGTCACAATAACTCGCGATTACAACCCGCGGGCTACAGCGACCTTGGAAATGCTTGTTGGAAGTGTGGGGGACGGGATTGCCCCCCACGCGAAGACCTCCCTTGACTCGGACCAAGGGAGGGTTCGTTCTTGGAAGGTTGGGGTGACGGCGGATTGTCCGCGTCGCCACGCAACCGAACTTTCCCCGGATTGAGTCCGAACATTTGTGGGGGCGACACTTGGCAGCCCCACAAGCATGCACGAAAATAGCGAGGGTGCAAGCGAATGTTACGAACATTTCGCTACACTCGCTATTGATCCTTGTAACACACGATTGTCGGCGTGAAGAAACGAACCCGGCAAAGTCCGAAATTATGAACGCGGACGTCGCGGAAATTAGACGCGATCCTGAGTCCGAATTTCTGGCGAGTCGCGCGCGGTTCGATGTTACAATTCTGCATGAGTGTTTTAGTTATAAATCCAGAGAGCAAAACAGAGAGTTCATTCCTTGTACGACTTGTGTACCTATCTTCATATAAACAACATTTTCTCTCTCAACTCTTGGGCGATTTCAGTGATCTAAGTTGCTACGGAATCCTTGCTCCGAGCCCGTCGGATTGATCCTAGGCTCTGGTTTTAACTCGCTAAGCTGAGTCTGTGGCTTCAGTTAACCCAGGACGGTTTCTTACATGGCGGGGGATGATAAGGGAGGGGGAGATGCTATGTGTCTTGAGGCATACACGGACACACCGTCCACCTACCAAGGCGCCATGAGCTCGGCGGAAGCGGCGGAATGGGAACGTGCGCTTCAAGCGGAGTACGATTCGCTCATGGCGAACGACGTCTACGAGCTCGTCCCCATGCCCCCCGGCGCCTACCTCGTTGGCTCTCGTTGGGTCTTCAAGAAGAAGCTCGGCCCCAACGGAGAAGTGGAGCGGTACAAGGCGCGGTTGGTGGCGCAAGGTTATACTCAAAAGGAGGGTCTTCACTACAACGAGACGTTCGCTCCCGTCGCTAAATCCGCTACGTTGCGCACTCTCTTGGCGTTGGCGGGAGCACTCGACTTGGAGGTGGAACAACTCGACGTGAAGACGGCATTTCTCTACGGTCGTTTCAAGGAGGTGTACATGGTATGAGAGCTAGATTAGGAGTGCTCGCTCAAGCGTTGCTACGCCATGGGTTCCTCCAATAATTTGTCGACGACGAATACGCCAACGGCCCCTTCCCTCCCAACAGACTTCTCGACAACGCCGCACGTTGTCGACTTGAGCGCGGTGCCAATTTTTACCGGGGAACATTTCTCCTCGTGGCGCTTCAAGTTGAAAGTCTACATGATGGAGCGCGACTTGTGGGGATTCTTCGATGGGTCGGCATCGAAGCCCACGACGGACGCTTCAACCGCGGAGAAGGAAGCGTGGGTGCGCAAGGACAAAAAGGCGTTTGCCTTTCTTGTCTCCAAGCTAAGCCTCCAACTCGTCCCGATCGTGAGCCCTTGCATCGACCGTGACGGCGCGACTCGTGAAGCGTGGAAGCGACTCGAAGGAGAGCACGTCTCCAAGTCACTTCATAGCAAGCTTCAAGCGCGCCTCGACTTCTTCACGGTGCGGATGAAGGACGGCGAGTCAATACGCGCGTACGTTAACCGCGTGGAGGAGCTTGGCGAGCGTTTGGTGGAACTCGACGCGAGCGTGGAGGACAACGATTGGATCATGACGCTCCTCGCGGGCCTCGGTGAAGCATGGTCAACGGTGATCACGATGTTGGATGGGACGCAAGATACATGGAAGAAGGAGCAAGTGGTGGCACGCCTCATCAACGAAGAGGCGAGGCGCGCGAAGTTGCATGGCGATGCAATCGGCGCGGCACACTTCTCCCGCGATGCGAAGGCGAAAGGGTCGGGTCACTTCAAGCGGCGCAACGACGGCAACAACCGCGGGAGTTCGAACGGGAGCGCGGCGACCTCAAGCTCATCACGAGGAGGATCGGCCAACGCCAATCGAGCTCGGGCGCGAGATGGAGCTTGTCGGTTTTGCAAGAAGACGGGACATTGGTGGCGCGATTGTCCCGTTAAACCGGCAAATTGGAGGCCGTCTTCAAGTGACGACAACCGGCGCGCGCATGTGGCGACATGCGACAACAACGACCGGGAGTTCGTCTTCGTCGAAAGTGGAACGACCGTCGGTGGTGTTGACGCGTGGGTACTCGATACGGGTGCTACTCAACACATGACGGCGAGCGCGACGCTTCTCCACAACGTGACAACGGTGGCTCCCGTTAGGTGCGTGATGTTCGGCAACCGTGACACCTTGGATGTCACGGGACAAGGCGACTTGCGGCTCATGGTGGACGGCGGTCCACTCACCATCAAGAACGTCTTGGTGGTTCCCGGGCTCGGCGCCAACCTCCTATCCGTTTCCCAATTTACACGCAAGGGGATGCGTGTGAATATTGAAGGGACCACGATGGCGTTGAGCACGGCGGACGGCGTACACATCGGCACGGCACGCCAAGCGGGAGGACTCTTCATGCTCGACGCTCTTCCGAGCGTGGCGAGGGCTCAAGCGGCTACCTCGACAACAACTCTCTCGACGTGGCATAATCGGTATGGCCACCTCAACCACGCCGCTATTCAAGCTATGGCAACGAAGGGGATTGTCGATGGCTTGGAGTTTGTGCGCTCGAGTGGAGACGACGAGAAGTGTGTCGGTTGCCTTGAAGGGAAAATGGCTCGGAAGCCATTTCCACCAAGCACGAAGCCCAACGCCACCGAACCTCTCAAGCTCGTTCACACCGACTTGTGTGGACCCATTACTCCCGCGTCGAAGGGCGGCGCGCGCTACGTCCTCACGCTCCTTGACGACGCGACGCGGATGTGTTGGATTCGGCTTCTCAAGAGCAAGGACGCCACGTCAACCGCTATCACGAAATGGGTAGCGGATGTGGAGACGGAAAGCGGCTTCAAGGTGAAGCGCCTTCGCTCGGATGGCGGTGGCGAATACACCGCTCGGGAGCTCGGCGATTGGTTGGAAGGGCGTGGGACCGCGCATGAGTTTTCGACGCCGTACACGCCTCAACAAAACGGTGCGGCCGAACGCTTGAACCGCACGCTCATGGAGTCGGCACGGAGTCTCCTCTCCCATGCTCACGCGGAGAAGCATTGGTGGGGTGAGGCGGTTACGTTGGCAACATGGATTCGCAACCGGTGCGTGACCAAGGCGTTGCCGAACACGACGCCTCTTGAGGCTTGGAGCGGTACGAAGCCGGACGTCACCGACCTTCGCACGTTTGGGTGTACGTGCTACTACCATGTCCCGGATGCCACACGGACCAAGCTTGAGGCGAAGGCGCGGGTGGCGATGTACTTGGGTCCAAGCGCGGATCACAAGGCGTGGCGTGTGTGGGACTTGGAGCACGGGAAGCTCGTGGTGTCGCGCGACGTGGTGTTCTACGAAGACACCTTCCCGTCCAAGTTGATGCACGTGCCCTCGGTCATCATTGTCCCTCCCCCCTTGGATGCCGCGGATGAGGCGGATGTTGCTCCTACGGCTTCTCCTCCTCGTACGAGTGAGGGGGAGAATGGATCGGGTGCGGTTGGAGTGAGTGCGGATGAAGAACATGCCAAGGAAAGTGACCCTTCATCTCCTCCTCCTAAAATCACTCCCACCCTCGCATCCACTCGCACTCGGAGGACTCCTCGTCCCAACTCCAAGTTGGATGACTACTCTCTTGTGGCGGGGGATGATAAGGGAGGGGGAGATGCTATGTGTCTTGAGGCATACACCGACACACCGTCCACCTACCAAGGCGCCATGAGCTCGGCGGAAGCGGCGGAATGGGAACGTGCGCTTCAAGCGGAGTACGATTCGCTCATGGCGAACGACGTCTACGAGCTCGTCCCCATGCCCCCCGGCGCCTACCTCGTTGGCTCTCGTTGGGTCTTCAAGAAGAAGCTCGGCCCCAACGGAGAAGTGGAGCGGTACAAGGCGCGGTTGGTGGCGCAAGGTTATACTCAAAAGGAGGGTCTTCACTACAACGAGACGTTCGCTCCCGTCGCTAAATCCGCTACGTTGCGCACTCTCTTGGCGTTGGCGGGAGCACTCGACTTGGAGGTGGAACAACTCGACGTGAAGACGGCATTTCTCTACGGTCGTCTCAAGGAGGAGGTGTACATGAAGCAACCTCCCGGGTTCGACGACGACTCCGACCGCGTGTGCAAGCTCAAGCGCACGATCTACGGCCTCAAGCAAAGCCCTCGTGCGTGGTACACGAGGATCGACGATCACTTGCTCTCCTTGGGGTTCGTGCGGAGCGAGTGTGGCCACGCGCTATACGTGCTCAACAAGGACGAAAAGAAGCTCGTTCTTCTCCTCTACGTTGACGACCTTCTCCTCGTGTCGGATTGCAAGACCCTTGTAGCGGACGTGAAGACGAAGCTTGCCGCCGAATTCTCCATGCGTGACCTCGGCGCCGTCTTCCACTACCTAGGGATGCACATTGATCGCGATCGAGGGAACAAGACCCTCGCTCTCCACCAACATAAGTACTTGGAGAGTGTGGTGGATCGCTTCGGCATGATCGAGAGCAAGCCTACACCGACACCTATGGAAGCGGCGTTTCATCCCTTGGCGGTGAGCGATGAAAACCCGATGGATACCGAGAGCGCCAAGACCTTCCACTCGGTTGTTGGGTCATGCATGTATGCCGCGGTGAGCACGCGACCCGACCTCTCCTTTCCCGTTGGAGTGCTTGGACGTGTCGTCTCCAACCCCATGGTCGAGCATGTGCGAGCGTCACGACGTCTCCTTCGCTACATCAAGGGGACCACTCGTATGGGGTTGCACTACGAGAAGGGACCCGTGGTGCTACAAGGCTACACGGATGCGGATTGGGCGGGAGATCCTTCAACCCGCCAAAGCACTTCGGGCTACATCTTCACCCTCGTGGGAGGTGCAATAAGTTGGCAAAGCAAGCGCCAAAACTTGATTGCACTTAGCTCCACCGAAGCGGAGTATGTGGCGCTCACTCGTGGTGGTACGGAAGCGGTTTGGTTACGTCGCCTTCTTGCCGAGCTTGGGCACAAACAAGAAGGCCCCACTCCCATCTACGTGGACAACCAAGCCGCCATTGGCCTAGCCAAGAATTCGGTCCTTCATGGAAGGACCAAGCATATTCAAATCCGCCACCACTTCATTCGCAAGCTCGTTGAAGACAACAAAGTCGAGCTTCGTTACATCAAGACCAACTCCCAACCCGCGGACTTTCTCACCAAGCCATTGCCTAGAGATGCTCTTCATGCATGTTGTGCTAGGGTAGGCTTGCATGCTTAGGTGTGCGTGGGGTGCAAGGGGGAGTGTTGGAAGTGTGGGGGACGGGATTGCCCCCCACGCGAAGACCTCCCTTGACTCGGACCAAGGGAGGGTTCGTTCTTGGAAGGTTGGGGTGACGGCGGATTGTCCGCGTCGCCACGCAACCGAACTTTCCCCGGATTGAGTCCGAACATTTGTGGGGGCGACACTTGGCAGCCCCACAAGCATGCACGAAAATAGCGAGGGTGCAAGCGAATGTTACGAACATTTCGCTACACTCGCTATTGATCCTTGTAACACACGATTGTCGGCGTGAAGAAACGAACCCGGCAAAGTCCGAAATTATGAACGCGGACGTCGCGGAAATTAGACGCGATCCTGAGTCCGAATTTCTGGCGAGTCGCGCGCGGTTCGATGTTACAATTCTGCATGAGTGTTTTAGTTATAAATCCAGAGAGCAAAACAGAGAGTTCATTCCTTGTACGACTTGTGTACCTATCTTCATATAAACAACATTTTCTCTCTCAACTCTTGGGCGATTTCAGTGATCTAAGTTGCTACGGAATCCTTGCTCCGAGCCCGTCGGATTGATCCTAGGCTCTGGTTTTAACTCGCTAAGCTGAGTCTGTGGCTTCAGTTAACCCAGGACGGTTTCTTACAATGCTTAGTGTCGTGGTATCATGTATTAATTCCCAGCGCCGGATGCTACTAGTCTGTTGACGGGACATGAGATTTTGAAATGCTTCCGTGCAATACCAACCTACTCGCTAGAACCATAAGCTCGAGCCTCTACAGCACCAATCCACGGCCTATGCGGCAAGGCTCTGCGCCATACAAACCATGTACATTCAATACATACACAAGGGATCGCGTTGTTGTGCGGAACGACGGAGCCTTTACTTGGTCCGACTCTCATTCGTGACCAAATTGGCCATTGCTTTTCTGTGGAATGAGCCGAATGTGGAGCAGCAGTCAACAACCAGCGTGGGTGGGCCAGACAAAACAATCCACTTGAAACATTTCCATGGCACTCCAAGGCAACGAACTCGCGGGCTTCCAGCAAACCTAATAGGGCGAACATGCTGTATGACTTCCAACTCGGGTTGCCCACTCGTACCACACCTTGCGGGATGGGGACTGACCCGTCTGCTCCCCCTAATAGACCGTTCGAGAAGCGAATTTTAGGTGCTCGCCTCGAAACTGCTGCCCTTCTGTGAGACTAGTTAGGGAATGAGATTTTGGCTCTCCGCTTCCTAGTAGTGGCCCTAGTACGTCAACGCCATCGATGTTAGTAGTAGCTGGAATGGAGAGCGACGGACCACCAGCGACCGCGCCTCTACACAGCAGCCCAGTTGAGCCGATCACACCGTTACTATCAGTTCCGCTACCGTTTATGGTCAGCAGGTCGGTCCTTCAAATTTTGTGCTTATTCCGGCAAGGATCGTCGGCAGTATCCCCGTTATAGTTGCAAGAGAGCTCGCTCGCAGCAACTGCTAAAGAGTGTGGGCCTCTTCGCAGTCCGTTGACGCTTGAGCTTATCCCCGTTATGGAGCTCTTCGCTCCACTGCGTTCGTCCCCGTTACAGGATCAAAAGGCCGCGCGAGCAGCAGGCGCTGATGGACGTGCACCTGGGCGCGCAGGCCGTGGACTCTCTCACCGCTCTCTACCGCTCCCTCGCTCTCACCTCCCAGGTCGCCTCATCCCCCATCTCCTTCTCACTCTACATCCTCGCTATATGCTTCTCATGATTATTCCTCAATGCGACATATATAGGCCCTATAGTGAAGCACGTTGACATGCTCGCAGGAAGCAGTGTGGTACGAGGCACGAGCTTCAAGGCTTTTAGTACCGGCTATCTCCCCATCAGCCTTGAAGGTCCTCAATGTTCATTCTCCTGTCTGTCCCCTCCTCGTCCTCTTACCAATGTAATCTATGTAATCTCCTCCGTCCCCTTTCCTTCTTTTAGGATCTGAAGAGGGCGTGGGATGCCACATGGAGGGCCAGAGACGCACAAGTGGCAACCCTCCTTCCTGTCATTGGTTGGTACATTCATAATATTCTGATATTGCTGTTTCTTGGCACGATGCCACAATTCGATTTGGGTCATTGCAGCCGGAACCCTGTGTACAAATGGATCTGCATATATTTAGTGTGTGAGATGGATATCTTGAGAGTGCCCAGCAAGGCAACCCAGCTGCCCCCATAGGCCCCTGTTCACCGAATAGGTCATCCTCTTCCTCTCCCTTATCCTCATCATATTACATTTTCTAATCCCTTGTATATCCCCAATACCTGATCACTTCCAACGTCGTGCCTATTCTCCAATCCCCTCTGATCCCCTATCCCTAGTCCCCCTTCCTCTATGCCCTACCTTCTATTCGCTTTTCTTGCTTCTTTACGTCCTAGTTCCTATGTCCGATGCGCTAACCCCTTTGCCATATACTCTGTACCAGCGCCCTATATGCCTATGTCGCATGCCTTCTCCCCTCTCAACACCGTCAATATCCTTTGATACGCCCTCAACTTCACATCACATCACAACACAGCAAATCAGATTGCATCGCATCGCATCACATCATAACATGTCAACGTGTCCACCTTACCACCATCCTCTCCCCTCTTCTTGCCCCCACTCTCGCCTCCCCCCCCCCCTTGCGCGTGTTCAATTTCTCTTCTTACCTCCACTTTCCTTCCCCATCTTCCCTTTTGTCCCATTCTTTCCGCGCCTCCCCTTCAGTTTCCTGGCGTGCAGCACAGCTCGCCACATGCTGCGGTTCCCTTACCTCTGCACCCTCGGCTGCCGTCTCCCACACAGCATTCGTCTCTGCCCCCTCCACCTGCCGTCATGCCACCACGTGGCAGCGGCCAGCACATTGTGCTGCCTCCACATCACGTCTCCCTTTCCCCGCTCCACAACCACACCTGCATTCTCAGTTCCCCCCCTCTCCGTGTGCAGTCCACCACATGGCAGCGTGCAGCACTGTGCGCCAGAGGCCGCTGCTTCCCCATTCTCTCATGCATCCTCATCTCCTCCCCTCCCCTCCCTTGCCCTCCCCCCACCCCCCCCCCCCCCCCCCCCCCCCCCCGCCTCTCTCTCCGCCTGCAGGTCACCGCATGGCGGCGTGCAGCACAGCTCGCCACAGACTGCTGGCGCAGCTGGACACGCAGCTGCAGCACTGCACGGTGGGGTGGGGTGGGGTGGGGTGGAGTTCAGTGTGTGCAGTTGGTTTCGGCTGCTGGCGCAGCTGGACGTGCAGGTGCAGCACTGCAGGGTGGGGAGGTCTGGGGGTGATGTGATGTTGTGGTTTTGCTATGGGGGGTGCGGGTAGGCTTCATGTGGTCAGGGGTTTATGGCTCTTGGGGGGTTGCACTCTTCCTTACACGCCCCAACTTCCCTCCGCCCACCCTCTTCCCTCCACACACACAGGTTCTTCCCTCCATCTACCCTCAACCCTTACCTGTGCGCCCCCAATACTGGCTGTCACGCGGGTCTGGTTGTTGGCACATGGGCGAGAGGCGGCCACACGAGAAGCTGTGTGGCGCTGCTCAAAGAGTAGCTACCACAGGAGATCCTTTCTGCCTCACCCTCATATAAAACCTACCACAGAGGATTTTTTGGCCCTCGTCTTCCTTTTCCCTTTTCCCCTCCCTTCTCCTCCCTTGCCCCCACGTCTATCTGCCCTTCATCGGTCATTTCCTGTCTTCAACAGACCTGTGCCCGCTCGTGAGAAACAGCTGGTAGAAATGTCTAATTGTTGGCCCTGCTGCTTTCACCCTACCCTCCGTGTTTCTCTTGCATCCTGCGCACGTCACACTAAAAGCAGCGTCAGAAGAGATTATGTGTGTCGCTGAGTGATTTCCCCTTTACTCTGTTCCTCTCAGTCATGCTACTGTCTTCCTTGCTCGTCTTGCTTGCCCTCCTCCCCTCACCAGGCCCTTGCACGCACATTAAGAGCAGCGGCCGAAGAGAATATGTGCGTGGCTGAGGTGAGGCAGTGAGATGGAGGGGGAGGGGGGCGTAAAGGTCAAGGGTGGGAGAGAGTTGTGGGGGGGGGGGGAGGGGAAGGGCGAGTGAGGTGGCGGTTCTGAAGGTTGCCCGCCATCGAAGTGTGGACAGCATGTCAGCATGGGACACGCCGGTGTGCATGGCAATGCACTGACATGACTGTGGACACTTGTGTGCGAGACCTGCGCCATGTTCTCATCATACGGTAACGCTTTTTGAAACATCACTGATTTCACGGTGCGACGGTCTAGGGTTTTGCGGTGGCTGGAAATTCGTCATCAGCGAGTTCTTGCGCGGCGTCACTGAGGGTGCTTTTGAGCCGCATGACGGGCGGACAATTCTGGAGGTGTGAGGTGAGGGAGAAGAGAGTGAGAGAGTGAGCATGTGCATGCGATCCGTACCATGTGGTTGCATGCAGGAGCTCGTGGCTGAAGCTGACGGCGTGGCTGCCACACACGGGGTGGACTCGCTGCTTGCCCACAGAGCAGGCGCCGCCGCAGCAGCAGCAGCAGCAGCAGCAGCAGCAGCAGCAGCAGGAGGAGGAGGAGGAGGAGGAGGAGGAGGAGGAGGAGGAGGAGGAGGAGGAGGAGGAGGAGGAGGAGGAGGAGGAGGAGGAGGAGGAGGAGGAGGAGGAGGAAGAGGAGGAGGAGGAGGAGGAGGAGGAGGAGGAGGAAGAGGAGGAGGAGGAGGAGGAGGAGGGGATCCGGTGGTGTTGCGGCTGGCACAAGAGCGAGAGCTGATGTGAGCAGCGTGCGGGGCACCACGGGGCTGGGTGCTTGGTGCACCGTTGCAGGGGGTGCACTGTGGCACGGGGAGAGCAGAGCACCATGGGAGTGGAAGCACACGCGCATGGGAAACACAAAGGGAGGGGCCCTCATTGGGGCGGAGGAGCATAATGAGAGGGGGAGCACGATGGGTGTTGGGTTTGGGGCAGCACAAGTGCCAGCAGCTGCAGCGGCAACAGCAGTACCAGTGACAGCTCCTCCTCTTACTCCCGTCCCTTCTCTGTCCCTTCTCTGTCCCTCCCTGTCCCTCCCTATCCCTCCCTGTCCTGCGCTGTTTTACTCTCCCCCTCTCCACTCTTTCACCGATTGCCCGCTCTCCCTCTGACCAGAGCGCGCATAGAGATGGAAGTGGCGGAGCGCATTGAAGCTGTGGTGGCCGGCCGCGACACCACCCACCTGAGGTGAGGCACAGCAGCACCACCTCGAAATGATGCACGGCTAATGGTTCACGCCGAACAAGCAACTGTCAAGTCAGAATAATCTCAAGTGTAGTGGCGCATCGGCATGCAGTGAATTCAAGCTGTAGTGAAAGCTATTGTCACTCCTCTCGTCTGGCAACCAGGATACAAGCAATCCCACCCACCAGATGTGAGGATATCCCGGTCATACAACCCACAAGAGCTGACATGCACCAGTACCTCTCATGTGCGGAAAGCACGGCGGTGATGTGCTCATGTATCTGCATGTGTGTTCGCATGTATCTGCATGTGTGTTCGCATGTATCTGCATGTGTGTTCGCATGTATCTGCATGTGTGTTCGCATGTATCTGCATGTGTATTCGCATGTATCTGCATGTGTGTGTGCATGTGTGTGTGCATGTGTGTGTGCATGTGTGTGTGCATGTGTGTGTGCATGTGTGTGTGCATGTGTGTGTGCATGTGTGTGTGCATGTGTGTGTGCATGTGTGTGTGCATGTGTGTGTGCATGTGTGTGTGCATGTGTGTGTGCATGTGTGTGTGCATGTGTGTGTGCATGTGTGTGTGCATGTGTGTGTGCATGTGTGTGTGCATGTGTGTGTGCATGTGTGTGTGCATGTGTGTGTGCATGTGTGTGTGCATGTGTGTGTGCATGTGTGTGTGCATGTGTGTGTGCACACATGTGGATGCATGCACGGACATGTATGCCGCACCTCCCCATGTGTGCAGGCCGCTATCATGGTTGATGGAGAGGCTCATGGTACCTCCAAAGGCATACCCCTCTGAACCACTGCCCAGCACTGCACCGCCCACAAGTTCAACATCCAGCGATGCACTGCACAACAGCACCCGGCAGGCTTTGAGCACAGGGCTGGGCACACAGCAGGCCTCGCATGTACCTGTGGAAGTTGCATCTCTCCATCCCCACGCCCGTGCTGCTGCTATTGATGCTTCTGCTGCTGCTGCTACTGCTGCTACTGCTGCCGCTGGTGCTGCTGCTGCTGCTGCTGCTGCTGCTGCTGCTGCTGGTGCTATTTCTGCTGCCGCTGGTGCTGCTGCTGGTGCTGCTGGTGCTGCTACTGCAGCTGCTGATGCTGCTGATGGTACTGCTTCTGCTGTTGTTGCTGCTGTTGGTGCTGTTGGTGGTGGTGGTGGTGCTGCTGCTGCTGCTGCTGCGGTTGGTGTGGGTGCTGGTGGTGTTGATGCATCAGGTGATGGTGCTGCTGGTGCTAGTGATGGTGCTGCAGGTGCTAGTGATGGTGCTGCTGGTGCTAGTGATGGTGCTGCTGGTGCTAGTGATGGTGCTGCTGGTGCTTGTGATGGTGCTGCTGATGCTTCTGTCGATGGTCCTTCTCAGGTGTTGGGTGAAAGGATTGGCATCACGGTTGCTGCTGCAGACACCGTGGTTGTTGCTGCTGCTGCTGGTGCGGCTGGTGCGGCTGGTGCTGGTGCTGCAGTGTTGAGAGAGGGAGTGTGGGCAGGGGCGACTTTGATTGGTGGAACAGGGGGCGAACTTCCCCTTGCAGGTGATGCACAACGTGCAGATGGAGTAGGGGACACGGGAGGTGATTTACCTTGTTCAAGGAGGTCAGTGGGAGCAGCTGCAGTAGTGGGCGCAAGGGATTATGTGTCTTGTGCAGGGGCTGCAGTAGGAAAAGCTACAGAAACAGAAAGTGGAGCGGAGGCGAAGAGGGAGGTAGTGGTTGCGACATCAGAGGCACCAGTACCGATAGCAGCACTACAAGCAGCACCACTACCAACCGCAGCATCAGCAGCAGCAAGACCAGTAGAATCTGACGTGGTTGAAGGAGACACTGCGGTCGTTTTCCCTCCTGCTGTTGTTCCTCATGTCGCCGTGCCTCTTCCTACTGGAGCTCCAGCATCAGTGGCGGCGGCACTGGCAGCAGCAAGGCCAGGGGACTCTAGTACGAGTGATCATGCTGGTGCGGCAGCAACAGCAGCAGGAACTGTAGCGAGAGGAGAGGACGAGAAGGGTGTGGAAGAGGACGTGAGGGGTGGAGAGGAGATGGCGTGTGGGGAAGACGAAGAGAGCGGAGGAGCGAGTGTGAGGAGTGAGAGAGTGCCTCTGAGAAACAATAGTCAATCTCTGCAGCACCTCAGGTTCCAGCCAGACAAAGTGCCTTTGGCAAGCCCCACAGGTCTGATCGGAGGGGGTTCTGGGGTAGGGGTTACATGTAGGGATGATGGGAGAGGTGCGCGAGAGCAGGGCGAGCAGGGAGATTGGATAGACGAGGGGGAGGGTGGAAATGGAATTGAGGGGAGAGTTGTGGCGGACAGAGAACCTGGTAGCGAGGCGGAAGCGGAGGGAGAGGCGGGAGAGGAGAGACAGGGGGCAGAGACGGGAGAGGGAAAGGAGTGGATAGATGTGGCGGACAGGCAAAATGGTAGAGAGGAGGGAGAGGCAGGTGAGGTGGTCCGAGAACAAGAGGAAGGGGAGGGTGGAGTAGGTGGGGAAGAGGGAGCGAGGGGAGAGAGGAAAGTGGGAGAAGGAAGAGAGGTGGGCGAGGAAAGCGAGTGGGGAGACAGGAGAGGGGGAGAGGGAAGCGAGGACAGGGAGGTTATTGATGTAAGGGAGGAGCATGAGGAACAAGGGGGGACCGATGAGAGAAAAGGACGAGAGGGTGGAGAGCAGAGTGGGGAAAGAGAGGGAAGAGAAGGTGAAAGGGGATTTAAGTGCAGGGGAAATGAAGGGTTGAGGGAAAGGGTTGGAAAGGGAGGAGAGGGAGGAGAGGGAGGAGAGGGAGGAGAGGGAGGAGAGGGAGGAGGGATAGGAGAGGGAGGGGAGGGAGGAGAGGGAGGGGAGGGAGGAGAGGGAGGGGAGAGAGGAGAGGGAGAAGTGAGTGAAAGCAGCCAGAAGTTGCCACTTAAAAACCCTGTTCTTGAGAAACCTCCTCTTGGAAACCCTCCTCCTGAAATGCTTTTTCTTGAAAACCCTCGTCGTGAAAACTTTCCTCTCGAATCGACCCCACACCAGTCACTTAGCAACCCGCCTCCTCTTCCTCCTCCTCCTCCTCCTGCTGTTGCTGCTGCCCCTCTGCCTTTGCGCCCCTCGTTGCCGCACCATTGCTTGTCCTTTTCCCTCGGCACTCCTGTCGCATTCCTCTCCGCCCCTTCACCTGCCGTTGTTCCGCTACACGCATTTGGTGCTGCTGGGACTCCCAAAGCAGATGCCCGCTCGCACGCACAGCGTGCGTCAAGCAACACGTGTGGTGGGCCAAGCCATGCCTCAGAGCACCAGAGCACGGAAGCCAGTCAAGCAGCCCCCAAAGATTGCTGCACCCATTCCCGGGTTGATGCTGTGCCGTGTGTAGGCTCTCTTGGGTGTGCAGCAGCAGCCCATGGTGCTGTGGCCAGGGCAGCAGGAGAAAGTACAGTTGGTGATTTAGGAGCAAGTGCTGCTGGTGCTGCCTGTATGGCTGCTGGTATTGAGAAGCAACAGCAGCAGGAGGGGCAGTGGCAGCAGCGGCAACCAGAGTGTCAGCAGCAGGAGCATGACATTCACATTCTGAAAGTGATTCCTGGTGGACTTGCGGAAGGTGGTGACGTGGAAGGTGGTGAGGTGGAAGGTGGTGAAGTGGAAGGTGGTGAAGTGGAAGGTGGTGACGTGGAAGGTGGTGACGTGGAAGGTGGTGACGTGGAAGGTGGTGAAGTGGAAGGTGGTGACGTGGAAGGTGGTGTTGTGAAAGCGCAAGGAGTGGAGGAGAGAGAACGAGGGGCAGGGAGATTAGAGCGAGAGGCGAAGAAGAGGAAACGTGCGGATCTGGATATTCCTCATGCTGCTGCTGCTGCTACAAGTGCTACTGGTGCTGCTGGTGCTGCTGGTGCTACTGTTGCTACTGGTGCTGCTGGTGCTGCTGGTGCTGCTGGTGTTGCTGGTGTTGTAAGTGTTGCTGGTGTTGTTAGTGTTGCTGGTGTTGCTAGTTTTTCTGGTGTTGCTGGTGTTGCTGGTGCTACTACTTCTCCTGCTACTTGTGCTACTGCTTCTGTCAGTGCTGCTGTTGGTGCAGTTAGTGCTGCTGCCGCTGGTGCTATTAGTTTTGCTGCTGCTGGTGCTGCTGCTACTGGTGCTGCTGCTGGTGCTGTTAATGCTGCTTCTGGTGCTGCTATTTCTGGTGTTGCTATTACTGGTGGTGGTGCTGCTGCTGCTCCTGCTACTAGTGGTGCTGCTGCTACTTGTGCTGCTGCTGCTGCTGCTGCTGGTGTTGGTGGTGTCACTGGTGCAGCTAGCAGTGCTGCCATGGAAGGTGGTGGGTGTGTGAGAGCAGGGGGGCGGAAGAGGTGGGCGCTGGACGTTCTAGATGCCGGTGCCGGTGGGGACGGATGTGCTGCTGCCATGCCTGCAAAGCACCCAAGGCTGCACTATAATGTGGAGAGCAACGGAGCAACGGCTGCACCCGCTGCTAATGCTGCTGCACCTGCTCTTCAGACTGCTCTTGTTGCTGCCTCCCCTCTTCCTCCTGCCCTACCTCCCCTGTCCAAGAGCAGGGAAGTAAAAGGCACATTTCTGTCCTTGCCTATAGTGATCAGCTCCTCTCCTTCGGAAGATGCTTCTTTCAAGTCCTCCCAGTCGCCTCTCAAGTCCTCCCAGTCGCCTATTAAAACTGCAGCTCAGGCAAACCTAAAAAACTCCCAGTCGCCAGCTGGGTTTAGAGACTCCACGTCAGCATCAGAGGAGCACCTACCTTCCCAACCCCTCTGCACGCTGCCATCCCCACACAAGCCTGTTCCAAATAACCCATCCTCAGATAAGCCCTTTGCAAATAATCCTTCCCCATATATTCCTTTCTCAAATAAACCTTCCCCAGCTTTGCCCCAGCCACTTGCGACCCTGACAGCTGCTCCACTAGCTGCTGACGTGGCACCCCCTCCACCTGCTGATGTTACAGATCCTCTAATTGCTGACGCGGCAGCTACTCCCGCAGATTTTGCAAGGACGTCGAGCTGTCAGCGTGAAATTGGGGGAGAAGGAGGAGGAGGAGGAGGAGGAGGAGGAGGAGGAGGAGGAGGAGGAGGAGGAGGAGGAGGACGAGGAGGAATGGAGTTGAATTGTGAGAAGGACACAGATGAGTGTGGTGAGAAAAAGGAGAGGCATGAGGGGGGCCATGAAGGGACGGAGGGGGAGTACGGAGGGGTGACACCCGATGCTGAACTTGGACATGCGAGCAATAAAGAGGAGGAAAGTGAAGGGCGCGTGGAGAATGGGAGGAGGGTGGAGGGAGAAGAGGTGTCGGGAAAGACTCAGAGACACGAGGAGGGCAATGGCTGTACGACGGTTGGGAGGGACAAGGGAGACGAGGAGTTGAGTGGGAATGGGAGGGACGAAGTGGAGGCAGGTGGACGTAGCAAGAATGGGGGTGTGTCGGTGGAGGAAGGGGAGGGTGCAGCAGAGAGAGAGAGGAGAGAGGAAGGGGAGGAGGAGACCATAAGGAACGGGAGGGTAGAGGAAGGGAATGTGTGTAACGAGAACATGGGTGTCTCGATCGAAGAAGGGGAGGTGGTGGGGGAAGGCACGGAGGGAAGCAGTGAGTGTGAAGCACATGGTACTGCTGGTGGCGTTTTGACTGTTTTCAACATCAGTGTTGAGACGTCTCAGAACAGGCATGAGAAGGGGGGTGGTATTGCAAGCAGGGAACCGGAAGAGACAGAGGAAGATACTAGAACTGATAATTGTGATGCTGTTGCTGCCACCACTGCTACTGCTGCTGCTTCCTCTGCTGTGAATTCTGGTGCTGCTGCTGTTTTTTCCGCTCGTGCTACTGGTGATTTTGGTAATGGTGCCTATGCTGATGGCAATGATTCTAATGCTGGTCGCAGTGATGCTTACAGAAATGATGCACAGGGAGTGGAGGAAGGCGAGGTTCAGGTTGACAGCTGTAGCCCAATGGATGCTGTGGCTGGGGTGACTATAGTGGAAGCTGCTGTAGTGAGGGATGCTGTAGCACAGGAGACTGTAGCAGGGGATATTGTAGGAGGGATTGCAGTAGCAGGGAAAAATGAAAGAGCACGCCACCCTGCAGAACCACCTGCTGCTGCCTCTGTTGACCCTTTGCCTGTCTTCCCTGCTGTTGCTGACCCGGTCTGTGCTGCAGCTGCTGCTTCGGTGCTTTTCGAAGCCTTCAACCTTCACCTGGAAGCTCTTGGTCCCGTTGATGAGTCAGTGCCGGAGTATTTGGATCAGCAGGAAAGGCGTGAGAAGAACCAGGAGGTTGGGCATGTGGAGAGCCAGGAACAAGTTTTAGGTTGCGTCAGGAATGAGGAAGGTGTTTCCGAGTGGTGCAGTCAAGAGGTGGATGGTGGTGGGAATAGGGGTAGAGAGAGCCAAGGCACAGATGAAACAGAAAAGCTCGATTTGCCTTGAACTACAGTGCACGCAAAGCACGTGCTCTTCTTTCCATAGCTCATGATAAGTACCACCTGATTTTTCTTGCCTCCGATATTGGCTTCGTTTGGCGATCATTTGGAGTTTCAAGTTGCAAAGAAGCAACCCAATTGGGAGAATCATTGAATTTGGGTGACTTCGGGGGTGATGCATAGAGCTTACTTTTCATTTTCTCATACCCATGATTGGCAATGTACCGTATGTTGGAAACAATAAGTCCTAAGTGCGCTTCTGTCGTATCAAAATCCAAGGTACCAAGCGAAGCAGTCCCAATCGAAGCATCGAGTCAACCTCGGAGGTTAGGGTAACCGCCTGGAGGTTACGAGAAAGTCAAAGGTCGCTGACCTTTGACTCGACAATTACAGCGCGACAGTTAAGGACACACAACTGACTCGTTACAGAGCAGTTGCCCGAGTCGCGCTATATCGAACCGCAACAGCAATACAGTTATCTATTCCCTGTACTCTTATATAAATCCTTGTATTTGCTTGTTTAATTCAATCAACTTTGCTCTCACACACCAGTGCAAGGTCGGTTCAAATTCTTCACTAAACGCTTCCGCTATTACAACTACTTCACCTAGAGTTATCCCTTGCAAAGATCCTAAGGGGCTATCTCAGCCCAACATGGTATGAGAGCAGACAAGGGAAACTCTACTCTTTTTTCAATATCATTACAAGACATGGCAACAAACAAGGAAAGGAGCTCCCCTAATGGCTCCTCGGGCACTACTCCTACTCCACCGTCAGCCTCTGGCCTGCAGACAGAAGAAGGCACGGCAACAAGACCAAGAGGAACGTCAACCGAGACCCCCATGAACCACCCTTCGGACTTTGACCAGAACATGATGGAGAAATTTTTCTCCTTCATGTCCTTCTACGAACAACACCAGCAGTCGGGACCTGCACAAACACACAACAGCAACAACGGAGCGACACCCATGAGTCTTGATGGGTCGTCATATGCGCGAGGAAACCAGCAGCAGCAACCTACCTTTGCTCCGTACGAGCGCGGGTCAATCAGCTTCGTGCCCCACCCGCAACCTTCACCTGGACAAGAAAGACCACTGGACGCACTTCAAGTTCAGTCGCAGTTTGCACACGTCTTAAAACTGCAAACGTCAAGACCCTTCGACGGCAAAGACTTCTTTACCTGGTCCTTTGAATTCGAGCTGATGATGGAGGGCGCGCAGATACTCGGCTTCTTCGACGGGTCCCTGCAGTATCCAGCCAACGGGACACAATATGAAAAGCAGCAGTATACGTATCAATCAATGATGGCGTATACAATCCTATTGAGGAATGTGACACCAACTCAGCAGCAGAACATTCGCTCTTACCGGACCTTCGGCAACTCGGCGGAGCTCGCGTACAGCCATCTGAAGAACCTGTATCAAGCAACAGACAGTGTAAACCAGAGCAGGTTAATGGCGCAGTTGACGACAGTCGAAATGAAACCAGGAGAAAAAGGACTGGCGTATATCAGCCGATGTCGCGAACTGCGCGACAAGCTGCTTCGATGCGGAGGGTCAATCTCTGAAGACGCCTTCGTGACAGTCATCATTGGTGGGCTTGGTCCTCAGTGGCGCGCCACCAAAGCCATTCTTCGAGCCCACGGAAGAATCTCTGAAGCTGCACTCTGCGCCGAAATACATGCCGAGCAGCAAGATATGGACCTGCAGGAAGAACGACACAGGAAGAAAACGACAGTATCAGAGTTCGCATTCCACACTCAACGACGACACAGCAATTATAACAACCGACAGCAGCAACCGAAGATAGTACCTCCCTTCTGCCACATCTGCAAGACTTCAGGGCACCCGCGCACACACTGCCCGAATCGTCAGCAATCAACGGCACCACAGCGACAACTTCGACCTTCAAGCTCCCAAATGGCTTCAACACAAGCAAGTGCGACGACCACTATTCAAGCTTCAACGACTTCACCCGGACAACCTGCACAAGGAGCAAGAAATATAATCAACTGCATGACGAAGATAACCGATTCATGTACAACCGAATCACCACCACACTACTCACCGGAAGAAGAGCTTGACAACAGAACGCCTCGCCGTGAGCTACTCCAGCCGAATCCAACGTACGCCGCCATCGCTCAAAGTGAACCGTCCGGCCAAGACACCTGGTTCTTGGACAGTTGCTGCGGGCAACACATGTGCTCGTCCGGGCGTTTCGTACAACGCGAACATCGACTCCAACGGGAAGTGATCATCACGGTTGCCAACAACCAAAACCTGCGCACACGAAGACAAGGAGTGGTACAGCTTCAGTCAAGAGAAACAAATGTCATACTGCACATGTCTAAGGTACTCATCGCTGAAGGACTCGGCTACAACTTACTGAGCGTTAGCCAGTTGATGGCGAAAGGAATTCATCTGGAAGCCGACAGCACGACCCAGGAGTTCAAACTTTACCACGGGAGAGGCGGTCTCTACATCGGGAAAGCAGTGCTGAAGAACAACGTCTTCGTCCTCGACTTCGTTCCTGACCTGGGCACTGCAGACAGCGACGCCATCGTGAATTTCACTGACTGGACACACCCTCCGGATCTCGACCCCGACTTCAGCCCAGGAGGCTTCTGGTACTCGCACACCATTCCTGAAGCAGAACGAACACGAGCATTAGCAACAATTCGACAATCGGCAGCAGTAACAACATCGGCAGCAGCAACAACATCAGCAGCAGCAACAACATCAGCAGCAGTAACAACATCGGCAGCAGCAACAACATCAGCAGCAGTAACAACATCGGCAGCAGCAACAACATCAGCAGCAGCAGGAACAACGACACCAGTCATAGTCGACGAAGCACCACCAACACCCGCGAAACAGCTGAATCCGACTCAACGTGAAGTCCACCGAAGCGCCAACCTCGTCGCCAGCTTTTACTCCAACTCCGACGCATATCAGCGTTCACCTGGACACCGTGCCTCTGAAGAGATCTGGCACGCACGAACAGGACATCCAAGTAACACGGTTTTGAATAACACGATAAGAGCAGGAGTCCTTGACAAAGATTCTCTACTTCTACCCGATGGCAGAGAACTCCAGAAGGCACGAGGGACTTGCCTTATATGTCCCGAAGCTGACTTACCTCATCGACCGTTTGCTTCACATCACAACCCGAGCGCTCCAGCGTACGCACCACTCGAAAAAGTCTACAGCGACATCCTCTACAATCGCGAGCCAGGACAAGTCAACTACAACTACACCATCACCTTCATCGACGCCGCCACTCGATACGTCTGGCATCGCAACCTACCCAGCCGCGACATGGCGCTCGCAGCATTCGCCGCCTGGCTACCGATAGCAGAGAGAGAGTCTGGAACACAACTGAAAAAATTCCAGTCAGACGGAGGTGGCGAGTACACCTCTCACCGCTTCAAGCAGTTCTTGGCGGAAAGGGGGATCAAGCAACTCCTCTCCCTTCCTTACGCACATCAGCAGCAAGGTGTTGCAGAACGACTGAACAGGACCCTGCAGAACAGCATGCGCAAACTATTACGTGGCATGCGGCTACCCAACCACCAGTGGCCAGCAGCAATGGACCACGCTGTCATGCTACACAACTTGTTGTCGTCGTCGTCACTCCCGAACAACGCATCACCGCATCTGCTGTGGACAGGGAAGCAGGGCAGCACGAAAATGTTACGAGTTTTCGGGTGCATGGTACAGTACAGACCCCCAGAAGCACGAGCAGGAAGATTTTCGCAACGGGCACAGTGGGGACTACACCTCGGCACCGAGAAAAATTACAACGCATGGAAAATCTTCGACGTCCACACAAAGGAAACAGTAGCAGCACGTGACGTGATCTTCTACGAAAGACTCACCCTTCAGACGTACCTCGCCAACTTGCACGAGAATCGGGACCTCACCAGTGGTTTTCGTGGTGACCGAGCCTTCGCGTCAGCAGCGGACGAAGCAGACTGGGATGAACAGAACGTCGACAACACCTCAGAAGAAGCCGAACCTCTCCCATACTGCTCCGTCGACGTGCCCATGGATGAGGATAATCCTCGCGACAGTAACAACGCCGAAATCTTCTACCGTTTCGCCGACGATGGTTACGTAACACCTGTGACAGTCAACACCAACGAAGCAGAAAGGGTAGGGCCAAATTTCATGCCCGACCCAGAAACGGGAGACGAAGCAGCTTATCCCGAGGATCCAGAACTCCCTCGATACTCACAGACTGGGCTGCAAATCCTCGGCCTCGTCACCGCAGTCCACGGGAACACACGCAGCTCGCTTCCTAAGGAGCCTGCAACGGTTCAGCAGGCTCTGGGGGGGGAACACAGGGAGAAATGGCGTGAAGCCATGGATAGAGAACTGAAGGCATTAGAGGAACGCAACACTTGGAAGGTTGTTCCCGTAAGCGTGGCACGGAACAAAACCATCCTTACCGGGAAATGGGTCTTCCGCATCAAGACGAAAGCAGACGGCACGATCGAAAAATTCAAAGCACGCTGGGTCGTACGTGGATTCGACCAAGAGCAAGGACGAGACTTCACCGAGACCTTTGCTCCAGTCAGCCGCCACACGTCACTCCGAATTCTCCTCGCCATTGCCGCCATGAAGAAGAAGAAGTTACGGCAGATCGACGTCGCGAATGCCTTCCTCTACGCACCTGTGGATGCAGAAATCTACGTCGAGCTCCCGCACGGTTCCCACGGCGAACCCAACCGAATCTGTCAACTACTTAAGTCGCTCTACGGGATCAAGCAGGCACCGCGACTGTGGCAGCAGTACCTGCACGCCCGTCTCATCCGCATCGGCTTTAGTCAACTACCTCACGACCAAGGCATGTACCGCCTCACTAAGGGAAGCGACTACGTTCTCCTGATCGTCTACGTGGACGATCTCCTCTACATTGGGTCAACCGACGGCATCGCCACGTGGTTCGAAGGAGAGCTCCAGAAAGACCTCACGCTCACGGTCTCCTCCACCGTTACACAGTACC